GCGCTCTCAAACGGCCCTCACGTTCGAACGCCATGCCGGACTGAGTGGCAACTTCCTCCTAACTCTTCGGTACACAATATACTGTTCCTAACAGTCTGGCCTTCCCAAGATTTCTCTCTCACTTCTAAGGAACCGGGCCTGGAAGATGGCAGCCGTTAGGGTTAAACCTTTTCAGCCTTAACACCACGCGATACAATCACTGTTTTAATTTTTCTACTGCATCGATGCATTTTTTCCGTCACTATATCGCCAAATTGGAACCTCAAAGGCGTTTTTCTATCTTCCCCTCAATGAAACTGAACTGATCCCTCGTCTACACATCCACAATCAGGTCGCTAGTCAAAGGTACTCCAATCGACGCACCCAGAATATACCAGTAATAATTTAGGAAAACCGAACCTGTAGTTTAAACATGTGTACGAGGCGACTGTCATAAGGGGACGTTGCAAATCGGTCAGAGTACGAAAATACAAACATAAAGCAACCTGACTTACTTGATCACGTTCATTGCCTTGGGGACCGGCAGCTAGCTCTCCACCTAGATCATCAGAGCCTTCACCAGCTAATTGCGAGTGACTACCGCATTCACCGTCGGGATTTGACATATTCCGATCACCACCCCCACCTTGGAACGAAGCACTCTCAAGAGGCTCGCTATTGGTTTGCCTCGGCTCTTGTTGCGACAATTCACTCGGATCGATCTTTTCGGCCTAGAGGGAAGGCGATAAGTCCAATTAAAATAGAACATAACAGAGCCATAATATTTGGGGGGGGGACTACCAAGAAAAAGATGAACAAATACTAGAAGGTTAATAGGTACACTATGGAAGGCTGTCAATAAATCAGACAGAACGGATCATTAACCTTGGATGTCATCGGTATGCATAATTATACTTCTAACAATAGTAAAAAAACATAGCAACAAACTTGATATATGATCGCGCTGACTACTTCGCAAGACCCCTCTTGGAAAAAGTGGGTCGCCAGGGGCCAGTTTGCACACATCTTTCGATTTTTTACCCCAAGAAAGAATGCAATTTCTCTGTCCTCTAGAGATGCAAAATCACAATAAGCAGGATGGTAAGGAAAGTGGAAAATTGGGATAAATCGAACGCGGAGAACGGCAAGATCAAAGGATTGCAGTACGCAGGTCAATGACTATTGTGTTCGCTAAGGATGCCTAGCAGAGGTGAAGCGGCCAAATCGGACATCAAGTACAAAGTCACCTCGCCCGGTGTCAAACAGGCAGCATGCTCATGAGTACAACTTGGGAGTTTACAAGGCTGAGGAGACGACTACAGTTCGCAAAGTACTGCGGACGCAGATGACACCGAAGCTTCCTGGAATAAGTCATGAGGAGTAATACATAAATATTCTGCATGAAAAAAAAAAAACAGTAATGTGATCAACTACTCTTATCCCATAGTTAGGTTAGTTTCTTTGGATGCTCAAGTGGAGACTTGAAGCATGACAAGAGCTTACCTCCAGTCTCTCCAGATCAAATATGCGGTAAATTTCGAAGGTTATCAGAACACGGGCCTTCTCGACAGACTCACGTGTACCTACGATGAAGAAGCCAGCTTCCATACCCTGCTCAAACGGGGCCGCCAGGTGCGGGTGAATGTCTTTTACCTGTAACAATAAGGTCTTTGCATTAGAACACAAAAAAGTTATCTGAATCCACTTTGAGTACCTGATAAGATATACGGTGGATGCATGCAAGTACACAAAAACTTATGTATGCATGTGAATCCCATAACCTGGGTGTGTAGTTCTTTTATGT